AAAGGACAGTCCTAAACGCGTTTTACCAATTATCTCAAAAAATATTCTTGTAACATAGACCAGTTTTGGTTCCACCTTAGTCATGTGACATCCGAACGACAGGATAGATCATATCAAAATCCCAGTGTATAGTAGTTTAAAAAAATACAGATATTGAAATATACATATTCATTCAGAAGAAAACGGTTAAATATAAAAAAACTCACTCCATATTCATGAACAAATAAAATTACATGTAAACTTTGACCGCTCACCAAAATAATGCAGTTTTTATAATTTAAAATGAAGAAAATTGTTGCCCTTATTTTCTAACCGAAGTTATTCTAATTCGCACTGTTTACACTAATAAGGCAAACATTTCGTTGTATTGCGTCTTTGAAATAATGTAATATTGGAACATCAAACTCGGTATTCTCGGTTTTTTCTGTGTATATGTTTCTCTTCTCTCCTCAAATCCCCAAAGATGCTCCAAATGTCCTAAAGAAAACATGTTTATCGACTATAAAAGGAATACAATTCCAAATAATATAACCTCCAAAGCGGTTACAACCAATATGTGTAAAAGGACAAAGAAGGTTAAGAATCTTGTGTATGATTTAATGTTACAAATAAAAACCATGGGTAGGATATGGTAAATCAAAGGCTTGCAAAGTGGGTATTATAAAAATGGAAAGGATGAAATATTGTGACGATATGACTATTATATTCTGTACATACTATGCACAGAAATCCATGTCATCCAAATACATAGTCATATTGTTACGATATGACTATTAGATTCTGTACATACCAGAGATGGAAACCCCAAGGAAAAATAACATGAGGAAGGTCCCGAAAGATAATGACATGTAAGAAGAACTTAAGCATTACATTAGGAAGTGTGGCAGAAAAGCAGTCCACAGGGCAAAATGGAAGGTTACTGTTAAGTAGGCCAAAATGCACATCGAAGTCTAGGGCCAAGAGAGGAAGAGGAGGAGAAAGAAGAAAGTATAGAGATTTGACATGGATTTATATAGAGAGTAAGATGTTTATAACCAGATAAACTTTTAAGAAATAAATTTAAATCAAGAACTGGCATATATAACAATAAGCATGACAATTTTTTCTGTTGTAAAATATGGAGATATGAAGCAAAATTGTGTTGGTAAACTGTTCATGGAAGTTTAAAAATGTACCAACGGTAAAATTACTATAATTTTAGTTAATACCCTGGTACTTTATTCATTATTTGTTTTTTACAGTATTTTTTAGCTATAACAGTACTCAGTGTACTATATTTTTTATTTGTTTTAAAGAAAAACTTATATAAAGAACTGTATCCAAAGAGTTATGTAGATGCTCATAATCTTAACATATGAGGCCATTAGAACCAGAGTGGCCCAACTGCTTATTTTTCAATATTAATTTGATTCAACTAGCCATAAGTATATGTTGAAACGGATATTGCCACAGTGGCATAAAATTAGTTCAAATAAAATACAGTAGATGGCAGAACAGCACTACTTTGGCTTAAATGGAATTTTTAAACATGAGTAGCGCTATAGCAGGTCAATGCGTCACCCCAAACGATACCATATATTTTTCAGGACGAAATGACAATCATCATAGTAATGGAGTGGCAATAATGGTCACCAAGGAAATAAGTAAGTCTATTATAAACTTTGTGCCAGTGTCAGATAGAGTTATATTTCTACAACTGTCAACTATTCAGGGAAAACTAAATATAGTTCAAATATATGCTCCTACAGCGGAGAGTAGCGAAGAAGACACAGAAGAATTTTATAAAACCATTCAACAAACACTGAAAGTTGTTAAGTCTAGAGACATTACAATAATAATGGGAGATTGGAATGCGAAAATTGGGAAAGGAGAATGTGGCAAATGGGTTGGAAAATATGGTCTCGGCCAAAGAAATGAAAGAGGTGATCGGCTGTTGCAATTTTACCAGGAAAATAATTATATAATTAAAAACACATTTTATCAACTACCAAGAAGACGAGTATACACATGGAAATCTCCTGGGGACACTAAAGACCATATTATACGAAATCAAATAGATTATATAACCATAAAAAACAGATATAAAAACACAAGCGTATCTGTGAAAACGTATCCAGGAGCAGATATAGGGTCAGACCACAATCCAGTAGTGGCACAATTCCGAATAAAACTTAAAAGAGTACAAACACCTAAGCCCAAACAAGTAATAGATATCAATCGTTTAAATGATGAAACAATTAAACATCAGGTAGAAACAAGCATTCAGGCTACCAGAACTAGACATTAATAAACACTGGGCCATAATTAAAAAGAACGTGCTGGAGCCCGCTAAAAAGATTCTGAAGAGTGAAAACCAAAGAAACAGAAAGAATGGATGAGTGACGAAATTGTGTTATTGATGAATTCTCGAAGACTATCGAAAGGTAAAAATAAAGAACAGTATAAGCAAATTAACACAGACATCAAAAGAAAAATCCTCGACGCTAAAAAACAATGGTTACAAGACAAATCTAAGGAGATTGAAAACTTGGAAGCCAAAAATGATTCGTTCTATCTTCACAAGAAAGTTTAAGAAATGATCAACAATAGAAACAGGAAGCAGACAGTACTTATAGACCAACAAGGGAACATGACAATGGAAACAGAGGAGAAACTAAAACATTGGCAGACATACATACATAGAAAAACTGTTTGACGATCAAAGGCAGCCTCCTTGTGATAATTTTCCAGAGGAGACAGGTCCAGAAATAAGCAAAGAAGAAATAATGCAAGCGGTAAAGTCACCAAATAATAGCAAAGCTCCAGGACCAGATGAGCTATCAGCGGATATAATAAAGTTGATAGACGAAGATCGAATCCATTTGAAAACACATTTCAAAAAGCTAAAATAGAACATGAAGAACACAAGCAAAAGAAAGGAAAACTAAAAAAGAAGAACGCGAACTAATAAAAAGGTACAAAATAGAACAAAAGATAAGTACAAAAAGAACGTACGATATTTCCTCTGATTCAGAGTTTGATGAGGAATGGGTTGAATCAGGTCACAGCGTAGACGATATTAGCGAAATAAGTTTTAACTTGAGGAACTCTGTGGAAAATTCTGAAAAAAAAAACCAAAGGGACTAATAAAGAAGGCGACTATGTATTATTTGAGTTTCCAGGAAAAAAGAGTTCATAAATGCGACTGTGATATTCAGGAAGTTCTTTTCAAAACTGAAGCTGAAGTAGTGGCACTTAATTTTCCTTGATTATGTAAAGTAATGTTCTTATCAGTTAGACAGGCCACTTTGGTTTTCACGGCCTCATGAACCCAAACGGTAACTATTTTTCATTTAAAAAAGTAGGTACTTATATTTTTCCTCCCCAACCTAGAATTCAAAATTATGCAATGTACACATACTTTTACTGTGCTAATAAAAATAACAAAAAGGGTTTACTCAAGGTATCATTCGCACTATTCAATTATTTATTTTCCAAAAAATCTTGAAATTCTGTAAAAAACACTTTTTGGGCTCTAACCATTTTCTTCTGAGTGGGTGATGTATAAACAGTAAGTACATAAACAAGTGCAAATAAAATTATAACTTTCAATATGTTACAACAGTGTGGTCCAACCGACACTATGAAAACTAGTGTAGATAGTAAAAAAGCTTAAGAGGAGAAAACTGAGCTCAGCGACACCGAAAATTTATCTCTTTCTTGGAGGAATTAAATATTGAATATAAGAACGTCCCCCTACATTCAGAGATACGCTGGTTGAGTGCAGGTAAATGCCTTAGAATTTTTTTTCTTTAAGAAAAGAGATCTGACTGTTTTTTAAAACGGAAATTGTTATTAATACGGACGTATTTATAACAAAGCTTAAGAACAAAACATTTTTTCATAAACTGACATTTCTAACAGAGATTACCTCTCACTTGAAACACATTAAACCTACAACTCCAGGGGAAAAATAAGACAGATCTTTTCGAGAACTGTATGAAAATAAACGACCTCACGCATTTTCCTACGTGTTTCGAAATAAATCAAAAAGAAACCATGGTTCGATTTCTCGAGGTTTGCAAAAGTTCTTACAGAAATAAAAAGAGAATTCGATGTAAGGTTTTCGGAATTTGATTCACTAAAACCCGATTTGTAGATAATATTTCGTTTATATATTATTTTTTAAAATAAACTTTTTTTGAATGAGTTGAGTTTTCTCTGGCCCTTCATAATAATTTCAAATTTAATAAGGCCCGCAACGTCTAAAAGGTTGGACCACACTGTTTTACAACATTAGTGTAATTATAAAAATGTCTAAATTTAACAGTCTTATAACAGTTTGTATGTAATGTTAATAATGTCTAGAATAAAAAACGCTGTACAACTCTATAAATAGATTTCAATCACAGATTTGTATCACTATCGAGAAGTGTAATAAAAAATTTAGTCCACATTGTTGAAATATTTCAGCAACGGTAAAACACTTGGCCATATACCTAAGAATATTTATTTCGCGTCCATCAGTGATTCTTAGCAACACTGAGAATTCAATATGATATAACTGCACACGAATATGATATACACTTATAAAACCTACAGCAATACAGTGTTACGCGCTAGGTATATTGGTGTATTTCTGGATAATCTAAAACTTCCATTAGAAAAAAAATGCCAGAAGAATCTATGATCTGTTGACATAACATTGGATAATGAAGATTTTCGCAAAAATGTCAGTTTGGCTTATTCTTTTTTATACATGATATCGCTATTTTAATAATATATGTAGATGGCAATGTGGGATTTTTGATTTTTTAATGCTTAATTTGGAACTACCTGATCTAAAATAATTCAACAATGTTTACGGAAAAAACTTTTTATGTGAAAACCTTCATAGTAAAAAATATCTTGATTCTGAGAATCAGTATCATAAACACATTATATCAAAAACAAAAACCCTCCATTAAAATGCTCAACACGGCATTAGCTGCCTCTACAATAAAATCACTGAAGTGATTATTTCAGGCTCGAAAGCCTTCACGAATATCAGAGAGCTGTATCGGAACAAATTCCGGTGCGTTTGGATTTAACGGACGTCGCACATAGTCAGGAGCTAATTCCGATTCAGGTTCCTGTTCTGGTTCAGGTTCCGGTTCAGGTACCGGTTCAGGTTCCGGTTCCTCTGGAATTAACCGACATCGAATATAGTTAGGACCAATTACCGCTTCGTGTGGATTAAAGTGAGGTCCCATATAGTGAGGAGGACCAAATACCGGTGTCTCTTCTGGGCCGTTAAACGGACATGGAGCTGGGACCAGAACGCTGAAAACAAACGCAATTAAAGAAGGAAATTTATTTATGGACCATTAACGTACACTATATATATGGAGATAATATTAAATATCAGAGAAAGGAAGGTAATCAACATGTTTAGAAACCTAGAATGAACTTAAATGGCGATTAAAGAAGGAATTTATGAGTTATATACTAGAGAATATTATAAAAAGTATTTATATGATAGTTTATTTAAAAAGTTTTTATTTTGCAATGTATTTGGTTATTTTGATAATTATGATATTATAAATAGATTAAGATGAGTAAATGTGTTATATTGAGACATTTTGTGAATAAAAGTGATATGGGACAGTGAATCCAGGTGAAATTGAACGGAAAGTGGACATTTGAAATAATAATTATGGATTAAAATAGTGTTATTTACTAATTTATAGATGTTTATTAAGTTTTCATTCTGATCTGAAAAGCCTAAATTTGTAAATATAAAAGAAAAGAACTTTTTAGAAGTTTAAAATAAGACGTCAAAAAGTCTAAATAGAAGAATCTAACCTCTTTTCGTTTGAGAATATTCGCGAACATTGAAATATCTACAAAATAGAAGAATCTAACCTCTTTTCGTTCGAGAATATTCCCGAACATTGAAATATCTATAAATACGCTGTCACTTTGAGCGTAAGGGTAGAAAGAAGGTTAATTATTGAGAAGTCAAACTGTCATAATTCATTTTTGGAAAAAAAGTCGTTTTTGTTACATTTTTATAGAAAAGAAATAAAACAAAATATCATAGCAATTTAATATATAAATTATTAATAATGAAAAGTCAATCACAATAAAGAAGAAAGAATATTTTACTTAACTATAAATGTTAATAAGAAGAAAAATAATTTGAAATGGATGGAAGCTGTTCATTGAAACATTGTGGTCTCATTTGGAAACAACCTCATAAAAAAAAGGATAACCAGAGGCTGATAACTGAGACATTGAGTGGAGATTAAAACCGTTAGTTTGGCAAACAATTTCATTTAGGCATTCAGTGACAGAAAGGTACCAAATTTTATTAGTATAATTTAATTATTGTAATAATAACTTCAATTTAAAGATAGGTTGTTTTAAATTTATATTTAAATATTGTCTGAATTAGATAATATATAATATATATATATATATATGTAATTGTTTTCCTGATAATTGTAATAAAGATAATTTTAAAAGAACATACAAACTAATTCTTTGAGAACCACGACAAAAACCCTATATGTTATTCTCACAATACAATCAAACAATATCATAGCATATATATATATATATATATATATATATATATATATATATATATATATATAAATATATATATATATATAGTAAACTCTTAAATATTGAGGAAATCTGCAAGAAAGACTCTAATGAGTATCAATTGTTTCGCCGAACGTTTTCGCCAAAGAGAATTAATTTGGCTTCTTCAGGGCTGAAAGAGAATAAATTATAATTAGCTACCATATATTATCTATTAAAAAACATTATTGATCTTACAGTAACTTAGAATTGTTGAGTAAGGATGTTAAAAACTTATCTAGTAACATAGTGGTGTTTTTTGTTACTATGTGCAAAAAGTTTTTTTTAACGCTGGAAATGTATGGTAGCTTTGAACTTAAAACGCAAAGGTTTTGAGAATAAATCTAGAAAAAATCTAGAAATACAAATCAGGAGACAATGAAGAATGGAAAGTACCCAGACAGTACCTATTATTCTATCTACTACTGGCGTTATTCCCAAAAACCTCTTAGAGAACATAAAACAGCTAGGTCTAAATGAACATTTTTATAAGGCCATACAGAAAGCTGTACTTCTTGCGACGTCCAGATGTGTACGAAAATTTTTGGGAGATACTCCAGCATACTAAGTCACCTAGTGCTCGATAACACGAAAACAGTCCTACCAGAGCTCAATCCTTTTGATACCCTAGGTAACTGGGATGAGTAAATATTGCCCTCAGAGGGAGTATGAGCCGTATGGCTAAATCTGAGATAAACTGATTCAAAATATCAGATACAGATCAGAATGTAACTCTAAGGGAACACCATGTCTTGATACGACCTATGTTATGAATGCTTCTGCTACTGTAGTCGCTTCTTAATTAGGAAGAGATGCAATTTCAGGCCATTTAGAAAAATAATCCATTGCAACCAGTAAGTATTTGTTTAATTTCTCTGTCATCGGAAGTGGACCGAGAACATCTTTTGCAAGTCGTTCAAAAGGCTCTACGGAAAGATACGGTGCCATTTTACCACGACTTCTTGCTCTAGAGCCTTTTCTACCATTACATAAATCGTATTTCTTTCATAAATCTTCTACATCTCGGCGACAATTGATCCAGTAAAATCTGTCTCGAACCCTGGCCAGTGTTCTTTTGCCACCAAAATGTCCTGTCGAAAGGCGGCTATGAAGTTCTTGTATAACACTTTTGATGTGTGATTTTGGCAGTAACACTTGTTGAATTGTACGTACTCCATCAGGACTCTCCTACTTCTGATATAATAGACCATTGGAAAGATACAGGAGATTCCCATTTAGCTCCATACGTCTTTATAGTTCCACTGTATTTGGTCATTTCCTGACAAGTTACTCAATTTTTGAGCTGTTCTCGTATGACTCTTGTGTCATTATCTTTATTTTGACTCTTTTTAAGTTTTTCCAGGGAAGTCTGATCATTATTTTCTTACTGTTTAACTATGGTCCTCCGGAGACATACTTATTTAGTTACTAACTTTGAACCTCTAATTCTTTCAAAGCATCTTGAAATTCCTGTAATTGTTCATTCTGCAAAATTGACAGCTGTTCTCGTAACTTTTTTATTTTATTTTTATTAATCGATAGTTGCTTCTTAAAATGTGCAACTTCAGATTTCAGAGTATCTTTTTGACTTCTATCGCTACTTGTGGGAAATCGATTTCTTAGAGACCTATATCTAATTTCTGGTTGGTCTATGTGACGTGCTTCTAAATGTCGAATTGGACAACCTTCTGACCTCATTAATTGGTTCTTCTGTCCTGCCTGGGGTCGGCTTCTGCAATTATTTTCCAAATGCAATTCCTATTCTTCCGCAATTCAAACATCTTCTGTTTTGATTTTGAGATTTTTGTTCAAGATTCTGCAGTATGCTCAACATCTGAATATAAATATTTTTTGTTGATTATCTGTGGTTGTGACTTCTTCATTTTCTGTAAATCTTATTTATTTTCATTTTGGGCTATATTTAGAAACGCTTTTCGCTGCTTCACACACCTGAGCTGAAATTTGAACTTTCAGCTGACTTTAAAAAAAATGCCGACTTTAGATGCTCATGGCCATATCTTGTCTCTAAAGCCCGGGGAAGAAATTGCAAAACGGTTGCTGCTGTGTTCGAAGTGACACCACCAAAGAAGCTGCCATTTCGTTCTCATTCCAGCCATTTGTAGCTTCAAATCGAAAACGATAAGTTTCCCAGGCTGTTTGGCTATCTAATGTGCGTGGTTTTAAAATTTTGCTGATTCTAATTGTACCTGGTTCAACTATGGAAGATGATAAAGCTGTTAATTCAGATTCAACATTAGTTCCTAAAACAATATTAGATAAAGAATCTTGAGCATTAATTTTTCTTTCTAACTGAATTATTTGTTGTCTAAATTAGATTCTAAATCATTTTGTTGTTGTGATCTATTTTATTTTCAAAATTGTTTTGTTTTTCTTCCAATTTGTATATTCTACAAGTAATTTAACTTACCTATAACTTAAAATTCTCGTAAAGTTGAGATAAACTATGTATGATTTCTACCTACGCATTTTCTACGTATCTTCTCTTTTTCATTCTTTCTTGCCTACACTTCTTTTCCTCTTCTTGCCTACGCTTCTTCTTTTTCTCTTTCTCTTCTCGCTTCTGTTCTTCTTCGCTTCTCTTTCTGTTACACTTTACAATCATTTTTACTCAAACACCAAGTGGTTTACAATACTTTAACAGAATGACAACTATAAACTTCAAAAACTCAATTACAACTACTGTAAAACTGTCACAAGATTTGTTTAGATATATTTTCTGACGTTTCAGACTTTACTACTAGACTTCTTTTCCTCTTCTTGCCTACGCTTCTTCTTTTTCTCTTTCTCTTCTCGCTTCTGTTCTTCTTCGCTTCTCTTTCTGTTACACTTTACAATCATTTTTACTCAAACACCAAGTGGTTTACAATACTTTAACAGAATGACAACTATAAATTTCAAAAACTCAATTACAACTACTGTTAAAAACTGTCAACAAGATTTGTTTAGATATATTTTCTGACGTTTCAGACTTTACTACTAGACTTCTTTATTATTTCTTCTTTTTCGTCAAGTGACTTTTCTATCTAAAATAAATTTCACGAAACTTTCGTTAACAATTTATATATATATATATATATATATATATATATATATATATATATATATATATATATATATATATATATATATATATATTTAAAAAAATATTCAATAGTTGAATAGCAGAGGTTGTATCGGTCAATAATAGGCAAATGAAAGTCGTCAACTACTTCATTGATTTAATCGAATACGTTTCGCTTTTTAGTTTTCAAAAGCATCATCAGTTCAAAAAACAATTTGTAGGTTTTGTAAAAGATGTTAAACACACTCTACGATAACTTAACATTAAAAAATTTAAAAACTAAACGATAGAATCGAAACAAAAAAACACACAGGAAAAAACTGAAAACAGCACTATTGTTTATTTAATTTTTACCGATGGCTTCATCTCAATGTGGGTGTAAGCTCTTTCGAAAACCCAACACAATGGGTTGGGTTTTCGAAAGAGCTTACACCCACATTGAGATGAAGCCATCGGTAAAAATTAAATAAACAATAGTGCTGTTTCAGTTTTTTCCTGTGTGTTTTTTTGTTTCGATTCTATCGTTTAGTTTTTAAATTTTTTAATGTTAAGTTATCGTAGAGTGTGTTTAACATCTTTTACAAAACCTACAAATTGTTTTTTGAACTGATGATGCTTTTGAAAACTAAAAAGCGAAACGTATTCGATTAAATCAATGAAGTAGTTGACGACTTTCATTTGCCTATTATTGACCGATACAACCTCTGCTATTCAACTATTGAATATTTTTTAAATTTAATCAACGGTCGTAATTTTTGGCTATATATATATATATAATATATATATATATATATATATATATATATATATATATATATATATATACTCAGACGAGTGGTGGGTTCTTATATCGGTCTCAAGGTGGAGAAATAAAAAGACAAAGTTGATAGGCTACTTTATCTATTTTGAAGACGTTTCGCTTTCGTATTCTGAAAGCATCATCAGTTCATCTAAAAAGTACAATATGAGAACCACACAAACATGGAAAAGATGTTACAGCGTTACCTTAAAAAGACATGTAGCAGTAAATGATATTAAAAAAAGTATGTGAGTAAGCTGCGGTAATACTGTATAAACAATCAATTAACTAACAACAATTAGTAACTTATTAAAAATTAGCACAGCATAAGAACATGTGGTCTAATATACATGTAATATTTTTTTATTATAACATTAATTAGTGAATGAAAAACTAAGAATATCACAGATTCACTTCCAACTGTATGAGCAATATTTATGGTTTGATTTTAACCTTTGGTAGCATTAGTAAAGAGATAAGTATTAAAATTGAAAAATTATAGTGAATAATGAAGTTACCAATCTGAGCCTCACCACTGCCGCCGGTAAAATGGCGTTAATTGAAACAGATAGCGCCAACACCGTGAAAAGACGGCCAACCTTGAGGTCATAAAAATGTTGACAGAACTACAAGGTTGAAATACCAGCCCAATTTATAGGGCGGTGTATTTGAAAAATTCAAATGAGTTTGGGTGACAACCCGTCTGTAAGAGACCAAACAATGAAAGAAATTGGTATTGATAACATCAATTCCTCCAATCAATCAGTCTAGAACGAACAAACGGGCGACAGTCAGTCAACCTCATATATAAGTAAAAAACCGTCAACGTTGTAGCTGGATAATCAGCCACAGGTGATTAACGACAATAATTTCCAACAGTCCAAGGTTCAAACACTTGGAACTGTATTTTATGGGCGATTCTATGAATCACACAATTCACACTAATCTGTGCATAATAAATAATAAAAGTAAATGCAATGTGAGTTGCATAAGTCTATGTAAGTTAAGTAAAAATATTGAAATATTTTCTTTATGTTATGAAATTTATTTATATTGTAATATGTTAATTATATTTTAAATTTTTAATAAACAAATGTGTTAAAATGTACACCTTACAAGACAATTATAGTAAATAGCTAGTTAAGCCTAATTCTGCAAAATTTAAGCATGATATATTTGGTTCAAGTTACTTATATCAGTTCTCTTATTCAGAGCATTCGGGTGTTTAAGAATTGAACACATTTCCAAAAACTGTCTTTTAACGAGATTGCTTTCAGTGCCAAGAATCTTAACTTCATTAAAATCCACCTTATGTTTAGTATTGATGGCGTGTTGCGCCAAGGCACAAGTTTAATTTTATAGATTAATGTCACTACGATTGTAGTGAGACGACTTTTTAATGATCTCCCAGTCTGACCGATATAACATGAATCACACTCAGCACAGGGAATATGATAAATGGTGTTAACTTGTTCCAAAGTGGACAAGGGTGTTTTAGTTTTTAAAAAAAAATTTCACAGTCTTAGCGTTCTTGACCGCAATTTTGACAGGTATGTTATTCTGTTTATACAGTTTAATAAGTTTCTCAGTAACTTGAGAAAAATAAGGTAAAGATGAGTAATGGGTGGGAGGATTCCCAAGATCAGTATCAGGCAGAACAGTGCTATTGATTGATTTATTTGATATGGTTCTAAGTTGGTCACCATTGGGAATTAGGGTGGGCCGACAAAATTTTTTCTGGAAACTAACAACGCCTGTGGTCAAAAAAGTTGAGTTATACTAAAACACAAATTTTAAGTCCAAAATGAGTAGCTAAAAATATTTTTTTCCACTGCCACAAAGACTCTATATTTTTTTAATATAAAAGGTCATTGTGGCAGTGGAAAAAATAAAAAATAATAATTATTTCAAACGCAGATCTTTATATTTTTTTATTATATAATTTTTGAAACATCAGGGTTATTTATTTTGTAACTTAAAAAAATTTAAATAAAATCTGTATTGTTCTGGCGGTTTGATGCATACTTTATAACGTATAGTAAACTTTATTTGCGTATTTTTCCACTAACTAATAAGTAGAGAAAAATTTATTTTAGGGACCTACTTCAAAGAGTGTGCCGAAATTCCCCAATAACAATAAAGTAGACGTTAGTATAAACAAAGTTAATATTACCGATTATAATATATTATCATTCTTAAAATAACGTGACATTGGAGGTCAACGCTTCGCTTATGCTGCAGATTTTGCAGTGGTGTAAGTGTAAACCAATATTTCAATCAATTAAACCGCCTAGCGACACTTAAATTATTTTTAGTGTTTTACCGACAGTTGAGTAAAATACCTGTACGATATTTGTCAAGCAGTGAAAAGTGGTGCTTGTTCAGAAAAACTTTCTAAGAGACAGCCTGGAAAAATGGTTCATTCTCGGTGGCTTACCACTGCTTCCCGTATCCTTCGGTTATACGTAGCAACCAGAAACCCATCGGAAAATTTACAAATACTAAGCCATTTTGTAATGAAAGTGTATGCGCCCATGTGATTTTGTATTAAGACTCACCCGTCATGCATTTATGGTGCAAGGCATCTATTCAAGACAATAAGACTCTGCGACTATTTACTACCAGAATTGAAAGACATAGTCTATAAATGTATTCAAAGAAATGGATACTTTGGGAGCCCAGAAAATATTATTTTGGCTATGTTGTTTGATAAACGTAAACACATAAGACAATTGGGGTTCCAAAGAATTTTGAAGAGCAGACAGTTAAATTACAATGATCAGCGACATTTCGTAGTACCAAAATTATTTTTTGGCAGTAAGGATTACTTTGAGATTATCGAATGCCAGAAAGTTTTATGGACAGAGCCTCCTGTAACTATGAAGCTATCAAAAGACCAACTAAGGGAAGTTGTTGAAAATCCTGAAACCAGTCTTTTGGCATACGTAAAATCATACCCTTGTCACACACAAGCGGCTGAGAGGGCCGTCAAAATAGTAACAGAAGGTTCAGCTTCTGTCTGTGGAAGTGAAAAAGGAGACGGTTATATAAGGAACAGGCTGAAATCAAGGGAAAATATGCCGAAATATGAATTAAAGAAAGACTTTTTTTTTAAATAATGTGATTGTTACTTTTGAAAGACATTCTGTTTTGTATCGTTATATATTTATAGATAAACTATTTTTGTATTTGTATTGTTGTATTATGTGTTCAAAACAAATTTAGCTTTAATATAAATTATTTTTTTGTATGCAAAAAATAAATCTACCATACAATACATTTTTTTTTTGAAAAATTATTAATTTTATACAGCGCTGTGGCAGTAGAAAAAAAAATTAGTTGTCAAAAAAAATAATATGATCAAATTTATCGTATAAAACACTTTTTTTGACTCAGGCAACCATAATAAATTAAAAAAAAAAACGAATTTGACATAATATTAAATGATTGAATTTTTTCGTAAAAATCTCGTTCTTATATAGCTCTGTGGCAGTGGAAAAAAATTAAATTAATTATAAAAAAAAACACTGTGAAATAAGTTATCTTATCATACATCTTTTCTGGGGTCAGGCAACTCAATTAAAAAAATAAAATAAAAACACATTACTCAACGGCCCACCCTATTGGGTATGTCTTCAAACGAGGATCCATAACTTTGTGAGTAAAGGTATTTATTAATGATAGAAGAAGGATATGAATTCTCAATTAGAATATTTCTCAATAATTTAAGGGATTCCCTTCGATTAATCGGATGTGTCAATTTATTTAATCGGCGGCTTAGAGCTTTAATAAGGTTTAATTTATATTTCATAGGATGACAGGAATGGTAGTTAAGGAACCTATTAGAGGCCATCGGTTTTCTATACCAAGTTGTGGTTAGGGTGTTATCTCCCATTCTAATGACATGCATGTCTAAAAAGGGAATACTATTGGTGACAGTGTCCTCAAATTCAACAGTGAACTGTAAAATAAGGATCAAACTCATTAAAAAAGGATAAGGTGCCCTGAACCTTGTCAGGTGGTAAGGCTAATAATAAATCATCCACATACCGCTTAATAAAAGGAATTTGAAAATCCAAAAGACCTAAACAGTCAAATACCAAATCATCTAGTACATAGTTAACTAGGCTGGGAGAGATTAAGGAACCGAATAGGTGTGCCAAATATTTGGAGATAGTATTTGTCATCAAAGACCAAGAAATTAGTGTCAAAAACTAGTTGCAAAAGTTCTGCAAATACATCCCAAGAAACGGGACAGTTAGGTTTAATAGAGTTCCAATGATTTCTCCAGGAGGTGATAACGCTGGACAAAGGTAAGTTAGTGAAGAGAGACACCACATCAAAACTTACTAAAATGTAGCCTGGTGGTAGTTTGAAATTATTAATAAATTCACTAAAGTGAAAAGAATCAACAATATTAAAGTTGTTATTATAATTATACGATTTGGATAAGATATCCGTTAGAAATTTGGAAATATTAATATTTGGTGAATTAATAGATGACACAATAGATCTCATGCTCAGTGTAGGTTTATGTATTTTAGGTAGACAATAAAATCTGGGAGCATATTCATCATAATTATGTAAGTAATTAGCCAAAGGTTGATCTATGATTTTTATGTTTTTTAAGTGTGTTATAAATTTATTTATTTTATTAGTGAATTTAGAAGGGTTGGTAGAAAGAGGTTGATAGTATCTATCATCATCTAACAGTGATTTACTCAAACTGATATATTGATCTCTATCCATAAGGAGAGTAGCATTACCTTTGTCGCTCGTGATAACGAGAAGATTAGGGTGGGTTTTTAAAAACGATACCGTCTCCCTGTAAATCTTATTTAACTCCGATAAGGGTTGCCTAGGGCGTTTAGTGAAATTCAACAAGATGTTGTTGGAGGAAGACCTAAGGGATAAAAGGCCAGAATTGTCAGCATGTGACAAAATATTCTCAACATCTGCTAAGATTCTACTAACTGAGTAGTCTCTGAAAGTTGGTTGAAGGCCAAATTTAGGACCCAAAGATAACAACTTAAGTATGTCAGGAGGAACCTCAATATTAGATAAATTTTTAATCCATTTAGGATTAAATGGAATTTTCTTGAATTCAGGAGTATCTAAATTATTAAGTTTATTTCGAAGGTGTGCCATGGATTTATGATATATAAAATTAAATTTCTTATGTAATGAAGCCTCAAAAGTGTCCAACAGATTGTCAGGTAGGTGATTGTCCAAGAAAGAAGTAACATTATTAATTTGAGAAGTTATAAATTTAATATCTGTGTGAACCTTAGAAATATGGAAATTAAGTAATCGTACCCTCACTTGTCTATTTATAGCTTGGCTTCTACGGTATACAGACAACCGTGAGCAGTTCTGTTCGATAGAGTTTTAGATGCAGTAATTAACCTGCTAGTTTATTAACTTTTATTTAATTCGTTTAGAAAGTTCAGTTCAATGGCGAGCACAAGTTCAAAACGCTGACGCTAAGAGATAAATGGGATATTATTAAGAAATGCGAGTGTGATGAAACTTCAACTGCGATATCTAGATTTTATGATATTGGACGAGCTACAGTGAAACAGCATTACGTTATGAAAAACAGAGACAAAATCGAAAAATTTATAAAACTTATAGAATGATTCTAAGGACATAAAAGCTCTTTCCTGATGTTGAAGAAGCTCTGCACATCTGGTTTAAGCAACAACAAAGCAGACAAGCTCTTATTTCAGATGAGATTTTGAAAAATAAAGCTCAGTTTTTTTTTATCAGGTATTAACCAAGAAATCCTATTTTTGTGCTAAAACAAAAGTAAAACGGTCAATTCAATAATGTCAGTGTCGCGTTATACGTTTTGGTAAGTTCTTTATATATTTTACAATAACTTTTTGTTCATAATCTTGTACCGTTCCCATCATAAAAAACTGGTACAACTCTTATAACCAAAAATCGTGATTTTTAAGTTGTGTACGTTGATCTGGTCATAGGTGTCATTCTAATTTCTAGGGCACTGTTGCCATTTAAACGAAAATATTATATGAAACCAGCTAGAAGCAGGCTGTGCGACAGAGCGCCAGTTTTGAGTATACGAAAATCTAAAACATTATCGCGCATTCTCGATCAGTCAGTCATATTAAATTTGTTTAAACATGCATTCTACAAAAATTCTCATTAATTTTGTAATTTTTGATCATCTCAATTAAGTACCCATATATTGATTTATTATTATTTATATATTTATTGAGTAATGATAGATAACACAGACCGACATGATTTTTGGTGTTTTGAGTTTGACACGTGACCTTAGCTAATACGGGTACGCTGATTCTGAATATGAATTCGGTTTAAGCCCATTACGTCAAAATTTTTCACAGAATTTAAAAAACCTTGTGAGATATTATGTACTAGCGCAAATAAATACCTTATTGATATTTCGTAAATTGCGTTAAAAATATTTCTTTAAAATACTTGATAGATCGATACAAAATATTTGAATACATTATTATACTAATATCATTTGAATGGCAACACTACCTATGACGTCAAAATGTTTCACAATATTGAAAAAACCTTGTGAGATATTGTATACTAGCGCAAACCATTGAGAACCAAAAAACCATGGAGTCGACTTACACTTTTGCTCCTGCGATATTAAGGGTTTCAATTCAAAAAATAAACACAAAATTCAATATCCCGATTTACTTTCTGCTAAACGACCTGTATTTCATGGACCATTCCTCCACTTTCTCTTCACACCATCCAACAGCAATCACCAGATGAAAGTTCAGACGAAAAAAACGATGAAGACGAATTCAATCCTGAGATAGATCAACAAGTTTATCTTAACTAAATGAGTTCACGGCTGAAAGATAAAAATCTATCGGATCCAGGTACCACACTTTCGTGGTATAGGCATCGTGAAAAAGTTCGCGAAATATTTTTCTCAAGAGGGCTCACTGGTGTATTGTCATAATATTCCTGAATCAGTCATGCAACTGGAAGCTGACAATTACGATTCCACATCATGGCGGTTATTTATTGATTCTTCTAAGAGAAGACTGAAGGGTGTCTTGTTGCACAATGGTACTACTTATATAAGGTAATATCTCAACTGTATATATAAGGTAATATCTATGTTTTTGGGTCAGCACTCTGGATTCACAAAGTATCCGTGTTTTTTTGTACTAGGGGGATAGTGGAGCACGAAATTTACATACAATTACAATACAATAAAATTACAATAAAATATTACAGTGGGATATTGCATTGTAACCTTAGACCATAAAAACTAATAGACGCGCCGTAATGCTTTCCTCTCGTCTCGAGGAGTGAAGCCAACATAAAACGATTCACACAGCTGTAGGTGACGTCAGTTTGCGGCAGAAACGGTACAGATTAGAAGTGTTATACGTGTTGTAAACTTTTTAAAGTGTTCCAATTTAAAAAGTTTCCAATACATTAATATTTTAATTATGGTGGCATCTTGCAGTACATTTAATTGTACGCAGCGACAAAAAAAGGACAGATATATCATTTCATGGGTAAGTAAATTCACAAATTAAACTTGAAAAA